ACAACGCTAGAGCCCATACAGCCAGAATTGTCACTAACTTCCTCGCAGCCAACAACGTCAACGTCCTGCCGTGGCCTGCACGCTCACCCGACATATCCCCCATAGAACACCTCTGGGACTTGATGGATCGTCGTGTTCGACAACGACCACACTCTCCAGCCAACCGGCAAGAACTGACCTTGGCCCTCCAAGAAGAATGGCGTCAAATCCCACGTGACCTCATCAGACGACTGACTTTTTCTGTGCGTCGAAGAGTTTTTGCGTGTATTGAGGCATTTTGTGGTCACACACGCTACTAATGACTCGTTCTGCCTATTGTCCATGATTCTGAAAGCTCGAGTTTTGTACCACACCCAACTTTGGGGGGCTCTGACGTCATTCTCGGTCGCGGTATGATTGTCATTTTCAGTGTTAATTATGTTGATATATTGATCTTCTCAATACACTTTACTTCATGCATGTATGTTTTGTTGTTTTTGAGTAAGAGTGATTTCAAACTCTGGTAAAGTTTCTTTTGGACGTCAGTTTATATACAATCGAGTTTTTACTTCGAGTAGGTGAAGTGAATACAATACAACACAGGATAATTTTACAAGTAGAATCACAATGTTAATTATCTTAAAGGCACATATTTGAAATATTACATAACAGATTTCAAACCTGGATAAGCTGAGGTTGCCATGAGTCGAATAAATTGTTGGACTGACGGTTGAATTACATATTTATTTGGTATGTATTGCTTTCGAATAGCTTTTAAGGATGGACATATGAAGGTGAAATGATACAGATCTTCGATATTGTTTAGATTACAATATTTACATAACCTTTTAATACTGGAATATAAAGCCGTGTGCATCCAACTCGAGCACGAGCAAAATCGGTAGCAAATATACACAAGGTCGAATCTATTAAATATTTCTCTGCTTCCAGGCTATCTTAAAAAGTGAATAATAATCATATCTAGTACTAGATGATAATATATTGGTCCATTCTTGGCTGTACATATCTTTCATTCTGGTTTGAAAAGGGTTAAGAACACTAATTATACATCCAACAGTTTGGTAAGCCAAAAGCATAGCCAAGACCTGAACTAAACACGATAAGCCAAGCATTACTTGCCCAGTTCTGTCTACCTACTGAATCATGATTAAATAACATTTCGTATGCCGAAAGCAGAAGTCTTTTAAATGGCATATGCATTTCACTGAACTGTTTATAAACAATGGGTACCGCCCACATTCCCCTAAAGCCATTACATTAGGAGTGTTAATTCATGTACCAAGATAACATTTACATGCTAGATATTGGACCCTTTCCACTACCTCTTATCTTTTATGTCCCCATATTTCGTACCAATAAAGAAGATGGCTTTAATTTTTGGATGAAATATTTTGAAAAATATTCAGAGTGGGATCTTTCGATATGTCCAAACTAATTTTAAAACAATTAATAGTGACCCTTTTCCCATTTAACGTCAAATGTGACTCTGCTCTTGTTAAATTTAAAGATGGAGCTTGCACCATTGTGACAAGAAAATGTATAATCACCAGTGTTTCCATCCTCACCAAAACAGCAATTCATAATGTGGAAATCTAAGGAAATACATGTCAAGGCTTTGACCAAATGTGTTTACAACAGTATCTTTTGATTAACGGGGCGCATCAGAAGGATCTCTATTCTCACCGGCAATAGTATCACTCGTGTAATCAGACAAATTACCGGTTCCAGTATTTAAGTCTCCTCCTAATATGATGTAAGGCTTGTTTGGCAATAGATCTTAAATGATATTTCCTCAAAGCTTTATACCACTTTTATCGGTTATTTTGTCATAAAATGTCGAGAGGTATATACACGCACGAGTATAATATATCTACATTCATATAGGATAATGATAATGCATTAAAGATATGCCTAAAGTGCATGTGTACATTTTTGGGTCATAAGATGACTAATTGTTTTTCTAACTTATACTGTCACCCGACCCGAACTCCGCCCAACATTAGTAAATCTTGACGCTTGTACTTGATAAACATCAAAGGCAGGAAATGCATGCAAACAATCTAGTTCATGTGCCCAGGTTTCCACAAGACCTACTAAATCACAATCAGAGATATACTCTTAAAAAAGAAAATATTTTGGCCATAAAAGCAAAATTAGCGGACCAAGAGGTGCAAAATGAAGAGGTTAAATGTGTTATTGTGTCAGTGACACATTTCCCGGATCAAAATGATCACAACAAGGACATGCAAACCATTAGTCGGGAAACATGTACGATTCGGGAAAGTGCGTCCAGTGCATTAACAAAAGGGTCATAGAGCTGCACGTACTGCACGTGCAGCAGCACTATGAACGGTATTAAAATGCAGGGTTTCTGATTGCCTAGCATCTGCGTCAATAGAACAGCGACAGTTCAACAACATGCCAAGATTAACAGAAGTGCAAAGAAACAACGTTATAGGCCGCTTGCAGGCAGGAGAATCCCGATCAGCTGTAGCCGGGGTTTTCAAAGTAGCGTCCAGCACCATCACAAGGCTATGGGATCGGTTTCAACAGCATGGGTCAACACGTGATCGGCCAAGGTCGGGACGACCAAGAGTAACCACCCCCGCCTAAGATCGCTACATCCAACTGCGCCACCTATGTGAAAGGACGACGACAGCCACCTCAACCGCGTCCCAAATACCCGGACTGCGCAGAATCTTCGACCAGACCGTATAAAATGTTTAAGAGCAGCATGTCTACAAGACAACACAGGGTATGGCCTCAACTGCGGTGGAAAGATGTCTGGTTCAGCGACGAATCACGATTTCTCCTCCGTCGAGGTGATGGAAGAGCACGGGCCTACAGATGTCGGGGAGAACGTTACGACGGAAACTGCTTACAGGAAGTGGATAGGTTTGGTGGGTGTAGCGTTATGATGCAGGGGGTTATCTCTCACCACGACAAGACAGGTTTGGTCCATATCCAGGGCAATCTTTCGGCTCAACGAAATTCTCCTACCACACGTCCTCCCAATTCCAGCCAACGGCAACGCTCGACCGCATACAGCACGGACCACAAGAGCCCGTCTACACAACAACAACGTTGATGTTATCCCCTGGCCCTCCAGATCCCCGGATTTGAAACCGATAGATCACCTGTGGGATGAATTGGATAGACGGCTACGCCGACGTCATACACAATCCCAGACGTTGCAGCAGTTGGCTTTTGCGTTGCAGGCCGAGAGGGCTACCATTACTCAGGATGTGATTCGCATACTCGTCTCTTCCATGGGCAGTAGATGTCATGGCCGCTATCGATTCCAACGGGGGACATACGCGTTATTGATGCTAGCTGACCTTCACCTTGGGCTTTTCCTATGGACCGATGAATGAGATGACCATGTACAATCACAAAGTGTTCTCTCCACAACATTTTGGCTCAATACCTTGTACGGTTCCTCGTATAAATGAATGTTCCTACCTCACACAAATCTGGCTTTGCGTTTCTTTCTTTTTTAGAAGAGTATATTATCTATGGAGTTTTGTCTTCTCCAAAATGACTCCGCCGATAAGTCGCGTCCGCCGAAGCAGTTGATGGGCGTGAACAAGATAGGATTCGAAGGATCATCCTGATTTTGATCTTTGTCAACACCGTATCCATGGAAACCATCTTCGTCTCTTTTGGCTTCAGTGTAATCCAATAAGCTGTGAGCTAAACTGAAATATTGTTCAAAGATGTGTAAAATCTCTTACTGCCAGATTGGGTGGCCAAAGTGTTGACAACATGTTTGTTTCGTCGTTTGTTTCATATGTTACTGACGACTACTATGTGAAGCCCGGATCCTGATCCTGATCCAGGAGTCGGGGGTATACCTTAGCCCTGCTCCAAGGCTGAACTGAAAGATATGTCCATGGATGTGTAGTAATTCTATCCTCCTAATAACCAAGTCTAGATATGTCAGTTTTATAGGGACAACTTGTTCTTACTATTTATATAATCTAGAAATTATGATTTAAACTAATAATTACTGCCTTAGAGACTTGTGCAAGTCTAGGGTATTCATGTATTGTGTAATGAAAACGTTTACGCCTACATCATTCTATCAATATCGGAGGGGGGGGGGGGGGGGGGGGGGTTGAGTGAAGGGAATCTTATCCGAACCTTCTTCAGCGTCACGAGCTAACGCTTTATCCACTAGTGACGTTAAACCCAACTCACTCACCCTTACTTCACACTCAAAACGTCATTCAAGCAGCCAGACCGTGAAAGCACCTGGAACATTCACCTCCATTCGGAAATCCACTTCGTGTATGCACGTGCCAGGGGACTAAACTAATTAATGTTTTAACGAGGTAATTATCGGTGTTGTAACCACTACCACCGGTACATCATCCATGGATCATGGTCTCATCACACCCAGCCCATCATCGTATGTCAACACAGGATGCATATCTTTTTTGTCCTGAACACATCTTTAGTGTTAATTAGTTTGCACGAAAAACAACCAACATTTCAAAGATGCTCGGGTCAAGATGCCCAGTGGCATGATGACTACAAGCAATGAAAATAGAAATTAAAAGTAATTAAAATTAATTGCTTCCGGTCTTGCCTTCGTTATCAGTGTTCATCTTTCTTCGCTGTAGTGATGTTACATATTTGTTTTCAGTTTTCAATTTCTTATGTCTAATATGACTCGTATTGAAGCGCACGATACACGCAGTGTCATCTTCGTCGGTTTGCGGGTTATTTAGTTTTAATTGGCATTTTTTTCAAATTGCTAAATATCAAATGACTGGCAAAGTGTATAACGATGAATAACCAACCAGTTCGGTTGTTGAGAAGTTCCGGGGTCTAAGTCGAAGTTCGGGTTATCTAGATAATCAAATATTGTATTTCATTTTTTTGTTTTATGGTTACATATTTTGACAAATGCATTTGAATGTAATCTATCTGCTCTGTCCTTTAGATTCATCTCATTTCAAGAAAATGACTTAAAGGTATTGAAGTAGTATGGTAGTGACATTATAAAGAATAAGCTAATTTGCATGTAAAATATCCTCATCTAAATCCTAGCTACAGTTTCTCTTAATAACAATAACAAAAACTGAAACAAGAAAAGAAAAAATACAAATCCTTAATTCGGTTTTCAAAAGTGTCACATTTTCATCAATATCCATTTACCGATCCGTAAACCTGACCCGGGTGTTAATCTAAAACCGGATCACCTGACCCGGACCACGGTAACATGAGGCTGCTTCGTTCTGGTTGCAACCGGTTAAAGTGGGGCATTCTCATGCCCTCATTGACAAGTGTGGAAGTCGTGTATTACCCGCTTGTTGTAATTCAAACCATGTTTCTGCCTAACGTGTTCATTTCGTGCTTGGCTCTTGTTTTAGATATACTTACAATCGACGCTAGTCCACCGCATATAATTTTCTTCTTGGCCGATGATCTCGGTAAGTCATTTCTTATCTTCAACATTTGATTGACCCATTGTTTATTTCAGTTTGTATTTAATGACACCGTGTGTTCGATTTGCAAAGGGATTCTGGTTACTTAATAGCGTTACGTTTTTTACATTGTACAACTGCACTCTATGTTTTTTCATGTGTTTATTTTTGTAAAGAATATGTTGTCATGTCGAATTGTGATAAAACATATATTGTTTATAATTACTTATTTCTGGTTTGAAACATGTTTTAGTATGAGATGGTATCTGGAACGGACACATGTTGTAAAACTAACATAGGTTTAATTACCTAAAAGATTAACCAAAATCTAAAATCTGTACTACAATGTACAATACAACCGCATCCATATCATGTGCTTTTTACAAGTGTTTATTTCGGCACTCATATTGCTATGTAGACCTGCTCAGAGGCCGGAATTCGACCACAAGTCGATGTTAGTAAAATTTCAAAATAAGAATGAGTAATTCACAAGTTTATGTTAAAATTGTTGTTGGTAATATCATGGTTTTCAGAGGTGACTTGAGAATTTCACTGATAACAGGACCAATATTGGGGAAGATCTAGGCTTTATATTAACACTTTTACATTATTGCAGTGAGTGCAATATTATTTGAACATATAAAACAAGAGCCTTTTTAATTTTTTAAAAATGTTTTCCCACTGAGTTTGAACCTCCCACCCCCACCCCAACCAAAATAAAAATAATAATAATAATAATAAACCCAGGTCTGTATTATGTTCCACTGTGTTTCTCTTCAAAACGCAAGCTTTATTGACAAATGAAAGAGGATTTAGAGAGAACATTGGATCCTGATTAGCAGGTTAGTTGAGTTCATATTTGGACAGTTTTAATTTCGATTTCCTTTATCAACAAGTTAGAAGTGAAGATAGTGTTTTTATTCAAATTCGCTACAAAATATTCATTCTTGTAAAACATCAAGGGCTTTTCTGTTTAGGTAGGGTCACCTTTTTACCGTACTGACCCAGGTCACCTTAACATGGATCGTCCGTTTATATTTCGCGTGATATTCGCAAATTCTGTTACCGTTTTAGAATAACCACAAACACGTGTTCAATCCACAAATCCAGAGAAAGAACGAAACTGTAATAAACATTCAGATTTAAATAAAAACAACCTTGTCGCAATGACAAGAGTAAATGGAAAATCAGTTCAAATTATATTTAAACCAATATGCGCACAATGTTTTAGGACAATCCACTATTGTTTTCGAAAATCCACATGAATTAACGGCTTTGTGTTATTTCTCGAACAATCGGATTTTAATTCCCCGACAGTAACGGTAAACTGTTATATTCCTCTCTTTTTGACCGGCATTCGGATGTCATAAACAGTTAGAGATGATCACATGGACGTCCTTATATCAGGAGCTTATACATTTATCAGCAAATACGTTTCACTGAACGGTGAAGTGTGGTAAAATGGGGTTTGACGTCGTGTCCAAAGTTATCGCACTTATATAGCGACGTGCAAGCCCGCGCGTGCGTGCGTGTGTGTGTGACTGCTTGTACTGGCCCGGACTAATGCCGATTTTATAGTGCTAGCCCACTGAGATACGATGTATCAGTTTAACATGAATACCCCATGAGACAAAGTGTACTGACTCCGAGCCGACCAGTCCTTGTTTGAGCCCCTTAATGCCGAGCGCCAGGCAGGGTAACAAAAATTACCATCTTTTAACGTCTTTTGGTAGGACGCGGCCGGGCGGGCGCTCTACCACTAGACGACGGAGGTGGTTTTTACTGATGATGATAACTCCCTGTTCGGGGAGGTATATTACGTACAAGAAAGTACACGTGGATTTTTTTATATGACGTGTTTTGTTGCACGATAGAAACTCGAATTCATTTCATGCTGAATCAGCAAATACGTTTTACTGATCGTGGTAATTCACTGTTCGTGGCCATTTATTACGAACACGTAAACTGGTCACGTGGGCTTCGTTCTACTTCGACTACTTGTTAAGTACGTTGTTATTTTCTTACTGACATCTTTGTTGACTTGCCAAGTATTAAAAGTGCCACATTCCGCACTCGAACGACTAATCAAGACATTCATTAGCATCTTGGGTCACAGATACAGTTGCCATAACACTTACATAACCACGTGGTATCGCCTCGTTATCACTGTAGCTTATTTGTACAGTACTAATGTCACTTGATACCTGATCAGCACTATCTTTGAACATCAGCCAATCAGGTAGCGTTTCGGTGGGATCAGCCAATCAGATTGCAGTATGATGGTCAGGTAGTCAGGCGATGTGAAATGTACTCTTGTGAACACAAGGTAACGCGCTGCTGAGAGAGCACTTTGTGGCCCCACGTGGCTCATTTGGGCACTCAATCGAACCCAGATGCACCTTAACCCTTTCAGTTTCAAGTTAGAACTGAGAACTCTATGCATGCATACGATTTCACTCTCTTGTTAATTGCTTTTTTCTAACAGTATCTCATTGTTTCTCTCCTATCTCTCTCCAAATGTGTCTTCAAGTAATTCTCTCTCATAAACACTGACTCTAGTCCTGCACCATGACCGTGAAAAAAATAATCTAGAAATGCATACAAAAGCAAGTCTAGCCAGCTCAAGCTTGCTCTATCACAAATCAGCATAGAGAATTTTTTTATATTTTTAGAGTCAAGAAGGATATTGTGTTATATAAGATTTCAGAGACTAAATGTTAGTCTACACTGACTCGTGCATCCCATTCACTCAATCACAACCTCACTCACTCATACACCAGCGTGGAGACCCCGGTTCAGAATAGGCACCAAGCAACTAATGTTGGCCGAAAGAAGCAACCAAATGGATCGGGTGGTCAGATTCAGTTACTAGGTTGATGGCGCGTCATCATACCCCGATCGTTGTTCACAATATCAATCACTGGGTTGTCTTGTCCAGAGATAATTATTTACAGGCCTACACCATACATCCATAAACGCACTCTCTTGAGAGTGAGTGAGTTAGCATATGGTTATACGCCGCTTTTAGCAATATTCCAGCAATATCACGTCGGGGGACACCAGAAATGGGCTTCACACATTGTACCCATGTCGGGAATCGAACCCGGGTGTTCGGCGTGACGAGCGAACGCTTTAACCACTAGGCTACCCGACCGCCCCTTTCTCTTGAGAGGCGAATAGGCTGCCTTACTGGCCTACTTTCACACTGAAATGTCGCGACGATTTAGGGCGTCTTACAAGTTGCTGATGCAACAAAAAATCTCATTCGCTCACTCACTATATAAATCCACTCATGACAGCTCACTCAATATAAAGAAGCTTCTACCGGCAAATTGCAACGCCGTATATACGTCAACTTCTGAATTCCTGCAAAACCTGTTTAAGTTCATACGCACAGTAAACAACCTATTTCAAAGACATTTATATCTCAAAAAGTAGGATCCCCCAATACGAGACCGGGTTGTTTATGTTCAACTTGTTAGAATGTAAAATCGTGCTTGCTCTATTTTCAGTTTCTTTTAATGTATTTCCGTATGTTTGTCAGGCGTCATCTACAGCTAGGGCTGTTTGTGTAAATCTTTCGGTATGGAACGACTTTCATTGTTAGAATATGTCCCTCTTCCTAAAGAGATCGAGTTGTTGGATGTTTTAAATATTTTACCATAAATCTCTTCCCTGAGAGTAAAACCCTATTGGGTGTCTTCAGGTCTTGTTAAGTATGTTTTAAATGTTGAAATTAATATTAAATTCTAAAACAATCTGGAGAAATACAAAAACAATTCCAATCAATTAAAAACATATTTACCCGCGGGGACTCCGGGTAAGGATATAGATCCCAGAAACTCGTGCTTCTTGATAGAGACGACTGAATGGATCGAGCGGTCAGGCTCGGTGGCTTGGAAGATTGTGACTGCGAGTCATCGTATCCCAATTGCGTGGATAGATGCTCATAATGTCAATCACTTGATTGTCCAGTTCAAATTCTATTATTTAAAGGTCGACGTGATATAGCTTGACTTTTGTTGAATGTAGCGTTAAGAAATAAACAAAACCTTACTTGGCGGTTTGATGTCATGGGTTTGGGTTTCAAGAAGTCAAGGTTAAAGCGTTCGCTCATCACGCCGAAGACCCGGGTTCGATTCCCGACGTGGGTACAATGTGTGAAGCCCATTTCTGGTGTCCCCCGCCGTGATAGTGCTGGAATATTGCTAAAAGCGGCGTAAAACCATACTCACTCACTTCAAGAAGTAAAAAAAAACTTGGGTACAAATTACATGTTGTTGGGTGCATGGTAGGTTAATCCGTACCCCACTGTTAATTTGAGCAGTTATTCTGAGGTTTGAATCTCAGAACAATTGAGGTGTTATTCTGAGGTTCGAATCTCAGAACACACAGACATACGTGTCATATAAACGGGAACAATGCCTTTAAATTGCCAAGTAAGGTTTTGTTTATTTCTTAACGCTACAAGTCAAGCTGTAAAATAGCAAATTTGAACTGGACAATCAGGTGATTGACATTATGAGCATCTATCCACGCAATTGGCATACGATGATTCGCAATCGCAAAGGTAAAAAACCGAACAAGGGGCGCATGTATCCCAAATCCAAACTGCTATAAGTTATAGTATGACCAATTACTTTTTTCAAATGATCGCCGTTCTGATATAAAGCAATCGCTCACTCACTCTTAATGTACATTTGCAGTCGACTCTAAACAGGGATATTTATAGGGAGTCACAATTTGAAACATGCATTAACTGTTAACGTAAGAAGGGTTAAAGAAACATCACATGACATTTTGGTATACATCCGTCAAATCCGCCACTTGCACATTCAATTCCATTTGTGAATGAAACCAACAGATGTGCTTCGACAAGTCACTCGGCACTCCTCGGGTGGTCGAGTCATTTCGGAATGCGCGTATAGCAAACACCAACATCTCGAACTCCAACTATGGAGGTCAAGGTATCCTGCTCGCTTTGAAAATGTTTTGTAGAAAGAGCT